CGGGGCGCGCGGGGCGGCCATGGAGAGCGCGGCGCTGAGCGGCGCGCAGCGCGCGCTCATCCGGCAGAGCTGGCGGCGGGTGCGGCGCGAGCCCGAGCAGCACGGCGCGGTGCTCTTCCGCAGGTGAGCACCCCGCGGCCGCGCCACCACCGCCACCATCACTGCCACCACCACCACTGCCACCACCACCACCGCCACCACCACCACCACTACCGCCACAACCGCGCGCGCCGCGCCGGGCGGGCGGGCTCCCTTCCCCGGCAAGAAGCGTCCTGGCTCCGCAGGGCTCTGTCACCCGGTCCCCTGTCCCCCTGCTCGCCGTTTGCGTCGAGAGGTCGGGATGAAGCCCACCGAGCGTTGCGCTGCCGTGGGGAAGGTGCATCCTCCGCTCTTGGCCCCTTGCTCTGCGGTCCCGTGTGCTTCTGAACTTTGTTACGGGGAAACGGAGGAGATGGAGAGTGAAGGGAACAGGCAGCAGGCATCTTTTGTGCCTCTCTGTGTGTTCTTCCCGCTCGCTGTCGCCAGGGAAGGTATTTCTGTTGCTTGAAGAGCCGCATGTCTGCTCCACGCTGTGGAGTGTATCAAAGTGACTTCCTAATTGTCCGTGACATGGCAGGCTCCAGACCAAGGCAAAGAGCTGGCCACTGGGGAGAGATTCAGTCCCAGAGCAAAGGATTTGGTGTGCCAGGGGCAAAAATGTGAAGCCCAGCTCCTTAACTCCTCTAAACAGATTAATGTTTCAATTGTGGGAAGGGAAAAAGAAAATCCATGGAAAGTCATTTAAAAAGTAGAGTCTAAGAGCTGATGACCAGCTCCTGGAAAGGGACATTGCAGACATGAGCCAAGTGTTGCACAGCAAAACTGACTGATGAGAGCAATGTTTGAAAGTTTTAGCAAAGGCGTGTGGGATGTGGGACATTAGTGTAATGCACAGAGCACGAGGAAAAGAGTCCAAGTGTGTTACCGGAATTCCCTGTGGCCTTCAGGGGTGGCACCAGCCTGGCTAGCTCCTACTGAGACCCATATGTGCACAGCATATGCTGCCAGAGCAGGTCAAGAGCAAATAAACTGCGAGCGAGCAGTGGTGTGGGAGAGGGGTGTTAGCTGGGGTTGCTCATCCTGCCTTGCTCACAATGGACAACATGCAGGTCTTCCCCAGGTTTGACAGCCCTGGGACTCCAGGGCACCAGGAAGTGTGAATAGAAAGAGTCAAGGTGACAAACAGGATTTTCACCAGCCTGGGAAGGACTCCGTTGGTCTGGGATTGATCCTCTGGTGTCATAAATACATTGGAGATCTGGGGTCTCAGGAGCCTGTGCCTGAATAGGAGAATTTTTGACTACTGGTAATCTAGATTGCCCCAAACCAGGACTTTTCAGAACTTCTGTCTCCTTCCCACATGGGGAGGGATCAGCGAATGGAAAGGGGGGCAGATGGTGACAGTGTTGTTCCTTGGGTGAAAGGGACTCTGAACAGAAAGTTGAAATGAGAAAATGGGGGGTTCTTTCTCACTGTTGCAGGTTGTTTGATCTGGACCCTGACCTGTTGCCCCTTTTCCAGTACAACTGCAAGCAGTTTGCGAGCCCGGAGGAGTGCCTGTCTGCTCCCGAGTTCCTGGATCACATACGGAAGGTGGGAGAGGGGCCGCAGCGCGGCTGGAGCGCAGGCCTGTTCTTGTGTGAAGCCACCCCTCAGAGAGGGGGCTCCAGGCCTGTTGGGCGCGTGCTGGGCACGAGGGGATGCGGAGACGGGCAGTGGGCAAGGCTGCTGTGGAGCCGCTGCTGGGCGGCCTGGGGGCCCACAGCACCTCTCGCTTAGGCTCTCAGGCACAGCTGTGACACACGTTTGCCTCCCCCTTGAACAGGGACAGGGAGGGATGATGCTGATCTTGCGTCTGTCCCCGGGAAGAATGACACCCAATGCAGCAGAAGCCTTTTCCTGACCCCTGAAGTGCAGCCACTTGGGGCACATATAGTCTTGGTGTGGAAATGCCTCCGTATGTTGTCACGCTCCATCTTTAAGCAGGATCAGTGTTTTGTTTGTCTTTACTCCTTGTAAGAGGCTGTTCCGGGACTGTTCTCGGATAGCTACAGGCTCTTTACTATTTTCCAGCCTATTTATCAAGCCAAGTTAGATCCATTTTTATTTCTGCCTTGAACTGAATTGCTCTTTTCTCCTGTTGGAGATAATTTCCCTGTTGAAATTATAGAGCACAACTCTATCACCCCTCGGCTTTGCCAAGTTAACCATGCCACTGGCTTTAACCTCTTCTCCTAAAACGATTCTCTCTCTCTTCCCTTCCACCCTCATTAACCTTTCTCTGCCCTGTTCCCATTTCACTCCAGATGCTGCTCAGAGACCACGTGGTCCTTGCTTTGCCAGGCAAGGTCTCTTGGCTTTACTGCCCAGCCCATCTTCTCAGTTGTGTTCGAATTGCAGTTTCCTTACAATGGCACCATTGTGGCAGCTTCTAGTTGCCCTGTGGCTCCAGTGTTCACAGCATCCTCTGTCCATCTCTCAGGAGGAATCTGACCTGGACTGCCCCACAGTTGTGCTGGGATTATAATAGCTGTAGCAACTCCCCTGGTGTTGAATCTTACCCATCTTGGGGACAATGGGGGCCACCAAGTGGTCACCAAGGCTGTTTGCTGCAGCACCTTTGGTGGCTCCATGGGAGGCTGTGGGGAGTGATGCAGTCGGCGTGTCCCAGGTTGGGCCCAGCTCTGAGAGCTGAAGAGTGAGCAGACTCGGAAGGGGGGAATGGCTCACTTGGCTTGCCTGTACTGGAAGGAGGAGGGGATGCTCCTAGCAAGGGGGAGCCTTGTGTGAGGATAGATGATTCCCACTAGATGTGCTGACATTATGGCCAGCAGGTCATAGAAGAGCAGAGGAAAGCAAAGACACTTGCAGTGCTAGGAGGTGATGGTGACCATGAGGCTCAGAAGGGAGACGCAGTGGGGCCAGCCTGTTGTGGGTGGACAGCAGAGCCTTGCCATGAATCCCTTCCTGCCTGGCTGTGCTCCCGCAGGTGATGCTGGTGATCGATGCCGCTGTGAACCACTTGGAGGACTTACCATGCCTGGAGGAGTATCTCCGCAACCTGGGCAAGAAGCATCAGGCGGTTGGTGTGAAGGTTGAGTCCTTCTCGGTGAGGCCCCCCCTGCGCCCCGCTGCCTCGGCAGCAGCTTGTCCTGCCCTGCGCCCAGGGGTGCTGCTGCCATCAGCAACGGCCTCGGCTGGTTGCTGAGAGAGCTGGGGGCCTAGCACAGCCACCAAGCTGCCCATAGCCGTGTGGTGACGCTGGTTTGACTGGGAAACCCTCGAGCTCACTTCGCTGCCTGCTGTCCCTCAGTAGGACCAGGAAAGAGGATGGAGGGGAGCGAGACATTGCCCGTGTTTGAGGAGGACAGCCATTTGGCACATTGCTATCTCTCCTGCAATGCAGGGTTGTGGCCTCAGGCTTTGCTATGTGCACCAGATCACCAAACATTTGGGGCCAACCTCACCATGCCAGGGAATGGGAATATCTGTTTCTGCACCTGCACTGATGTGGGTTGTCTGAAGCTCAGTCCCTGCCTTTTCCCAAACAAAATCCATCACTCCACACACGCTCTGCTTCCTCTGTAGCAATAAGGCAGAGGAAACCCGCACTTATTCCTCTCCTGCCACCAAGCAGGGGCAGAAATGCTGGCAAGGTTAAAGGAAAGTTTCCAACCAACGCACAGCTCTTTCCTTATACCACTGGTCTTCTTTAGGGTGAGCAGTGTCTCCTCTGGGAGGGAGATTTCCCTCCAGGCCTGTCCTCAGCCGTGCAGGTGAGGAAGGCTCCCCCCAAGCAGGCCCAGTGGTGTTTTCTTGCAGCCCCATGAGGGTGAGGAGGAGGAGAGCCCTGCAAGAGGAGGTGAGGCAGGCTCTGAACCTCAAGGCTGGGGTCTGAGCCAGCCTCTCTACACGAGGGCATCACTCACTTCTGTTGATGTGCTGCTGTGCCAGGGGCCTGTGCTGCCTGCACCTATCTGGGAGTCACTGCGGGTGGATACGCACCTCTGTGCTGGCATCACATGCAGACACCCTTGCTCTGCTGCTGTGTCACCCTGGCACCCAGCTTGTGCTTCCTGCTGGCCTAAGGAAAGAGCCAGCACATGGCAGGGAGGGGGACAGCATGGGCCAGCTCCTGAACATGGGCTGGGATCAACTTGTCCTGGGGCTCTTCCAAACCACCAGTGAAGAGGGTGGCCTGGCTCTGCTGGCCGGGGGTGGAGGGAAGCATTTGCTCCACAAAGGCAAGAGTCCAGAAACGTGGCGAAGCAAGAGAACGGGCTGAATGTTGGCCCCTGGGGCTGAGCCTGATGCCTCCCTGTTTGGTTTGCAGACTGTTGGCGAGTCCTTGCTGTACATGCTGGAAAACTGCCTTGGCGCTGCCTTCTGCCCGGATGCGCGGGAGGCTTGGACCAAACTCTACGAGGCCGTGGTGCAAGCCATGCGCCGTGGCTGGGACGCTCTCCCGGAAGGGATCTAGATCCTGCAAGCCTTCCCCATCCTTAACCTCACAGAAACCCTGCGCAAGGGACGCTCTCTCTCTGCCTCTCTCTGCCTTTCTCTGTGTCTCAGTCTGTCTCTGTCTCTCGCAGCCGTGTGCGCTTCAGGGCTCTCTCAGTAATTCTGCCTTGGTTTGGCATGGCCACGTCTCTGGCTTTGCTGGTGGCTGACAGGGTATTTCTCGGCAGCAAAGTATGGGAGTGATGCAGCACCGATACATCAACCTGCTCCAGGTTCCCCGGGGCTCGCTGGAGCACCATCTCCAATGTCTGTATCCTGGTTCTCGGCTGGCTTCCCTGTTTTTGCTGTCAGTGACAGCTAACATAGGCCTCTTGGGTGTCTTCCCACTGGAGCCCGCCCAGCTGCAGGGCTCTTGTTGGCCGTGTTGGGGATGCGCGAGGTCGGTCGCAGCTCGCTCCTCAGGTGCTGCTGTGCCTGGCTTGCTGTGTGGGCAATGGCTCACTCCACTCCCTGCAAAAGTAGGGACAGCTGCAGCCGTTTTGGCCAGCAGAGATGGTGGGAACTGGCTATGTAGTGTAGTCATCCTCCTCTAAATTGGCAATGTGTTTTTTCCCTCCTTCTTTTCACCCAAGCATTCTCCCAGCATCTCTCCTGGGCGATTAGTACTAGTGATGTCTTCTAACCTGCCTCTTCTCTAGATAGGATCCAAAGCTTCTGTAAGGTTGGTCAAAACTCTGTTTCCTAGGGATGTTTCAAGCATTGGGAACACACTAATCCCAAGGTAAGGCTGCTTTTATTAGGCCTGGGCTGTTAGCTGGTTTTGACTTCTGTTGTCTTGGTTATTTATTTTAACCTGAGAGCCAGCTGAATTTTGGTACTAATGGCACCCATTTAAAGTGTTTTGTGTAAAGGAGAGTGAGGTAGATACAACAAAAGCTGTCCTAGAACAAAAGCTGTCCTCCAGCTCCTGCTCAGAGGAAGGCGAACTAGAATTTCTCACCTGATGCTGTCAGGACCTGGAGCGTGTCCAAGCTGCACGTAATGTGCATTTGCAGAGCTTCCTTACCCTTCAGAAATAATTCCCAGCTATTGCTGAGGGTCGGACGCTTTGGAGGGGAGCAAGGCACCTGAGAAGTAGTGTACAGCAACGTGGTGTTAGATGAGGAGTAAAGAAACCCTGTGTGCCAGATGAGATTCAAGGTAGATGGCTGAGAAGCAGCATCTGATGTCTCCAGTGGGAACTGAACCTGGGCACTTTGAAGAAGAGCTCATCTTTACTGGGATGTCACTGTGGGATGGGCATAGCCGTGTTTCTAGCCGTTGCTAGCCCTCGGGAAGGATACAGAGCAAGGAACCAGTTACAGGCAGCCAGGAGCTCTCTTGGCACGTGTGCGAGGGGAGCTGAGGGGTGTTGCGCTTGCCCAACGTGTGTGATGGCCATCGCAGCCGGTAGCCTGTGGTGCTCACCACAGCACCTGCCCTCTCCTGCCCTACCCAGAGCCTGGCAGGTTTGCAGCGCGGTGCCCTGCTTCCTCCGCTGGCGCTGCCTCCCTGCACGGGGCTCCCTGGGCACCGGTGCTTTCTCCTCACTTGTGCTTCAGGGGTGCTGCCAGCTGAGGTTCAGGAATGGGAATATCCCATCTGGAGCCCTACTCCAGGGGGTGACAGCCCTCAGCATCCCAGAGGGAGACCTTTTGGCTTTCCATGACATGTAGACAGACCTGTGTGTGTATGTGTGTGTGTTACTGCACCAAACGAGCCCCTTTTCCTCCAGCTTTCCCAGCACCCGGACCTCTTCTGTGCCAAGTTCTGTGTAGTTCCTAAGAGAAACGAACTAGTCGGTGTGCCTCTCATACCTGTCTATACTATTTAATAAAGAACAGCACTGAAGCTGGGCCTTGTCTGCAGCTTTATGATTATTTTAATACAGAAGGCTGGAGGAGGCTGCAAAGGGATCTCTGTGGGGGACTGGCTGGTTTTATAACTTTGGTGGTATCAAGTACTGGGAGTTGTGTTCTCTGGTTTGACTGCACCACAAGAAGTCATTCAGCATCAGAAGTCTGTTGGGAGCTTTCCTGTGCTGTAATTGAATGGCTGAGGTGCTGTAAGGCTAACAAAGGCGCCCTTTATTAATCGCTTATTACCCTCCGAGTTTAACAGGCTCTAATGGGATTAGAGTTTTAAGCAATCAGCCTAAAAATCCCTTCTTAGTTGTTCAGCTGCTCCTTTTGTTTCATGGATAGCACTGGCCCTGTCGCTTCCAGGCCTGCGGAGCACAGATGGAGCAGGACGCTGCCTCAGCCCCGTTGAGATGCTCTTTGTGGAGGCAGGGAGCAGTCCTGCTCCATGGAGGCTTGCAGGGTAACGCGTGACGGGCTGTGAAGCACAAGCAACGCAACAGCGGCTTGAGCAACACACACACAAATTGTCCCGCTGGTCACTGCTAAAAACCCTTCCGAGGTCCTCTTGCCGAGGCTATGTGAGGCAAACTCAGGGCTGTCAGCAGGACAATCCCAGTGCTGCTGGAAGGGTCAGAGCGGGAGTCGCTGGTGCCCCAGTTTGGCGTCCCTGGCTGGCGGGCGCTTGCTGCGGCTCCCGGCGGCGGCTCCCGGGCCGCTGTGGGGCCCTGCGCCGCCATGGGGCTGCTCCCCGCGCTGCCGACCTCGCGTTGCGCCGCCGTGGGAGCTGCCGCGCTGCGGACCCCAGCTGTGCGGGCCTCCTGCATGCGAGGCTGTAATGAAGCGAGCGGGTTTCCGAGGGCCTCGGTGCTCAGTCACGCTGAGTAATGGTGCTTACACAAGCTGGCCACGCCGTGACGGGCTTCCCGCAGAGCGAGGGCCGTGACAGCCACGAGCTGGGCAGCGGGGAGGCAGGACCAGCCTTACGTGCAGCAAGGGCTCCTGCTCCCCGGCAGCTGCAAGGCCTCAAAAGTAGCTGGGTTTGCTGCTAATTACCAAAGTGAGTGAGCAAGAGTGTGTGTGTGTGTGTGTATACATGCATGTATGTGGCTTTGCTTTTTCTATTTGTTTCCTTTTTTTTTTTTTCATTCAAAGAGAAACCCCCTTCCAGCCATGAGCCAAGCTGGTGGGAGCAGTGCTGGCCCTAGGGATGCTTTGTGGGCTCTGGGAAGGAGCCTCATGGGTTCAACCTTGTGCTGGTGAGATGCAGGACATCAGGGAGAAAGCTGCTGTTCTGGAGAGTGATCCCTGCTCAACTCCTAGAAAAAGGCACCCAACAGGGCGCTGCTCCCAGCGCCGTGCTGAGGGGCAGCCCGCAGGAGGTGACCGTGTGGCTCCTCCTCCTCGCTGCGGGCTGCGTTGGTGTTCTGGCCCGGCTGTGTATTGCACAGGCTGCAGCAGTCGCTGCCCTCCTCGTTGCCCCGCAGTTTCTCCTGCCCGGTGCTGCGCAGGACACATAGGGGTGACAGCACCAGACCAGTGGCTGGGTGAAGTCATTTTATTCAAGGCACGGTCATAGCAAGAAGTAACAAGAAGGTACAGACCTCTGGCACATTCCTATAGCGTGGCAGCCAAGGGCAAGTCAGGCCAGGACCCAGAGCGGCCAAGGACACAACGAAGCCCACAGGCACTTGCTTCTCCCTGCAGAGAGCCCACGGTGTTGCTGGTGGGGACGGGAGCATCCCCTCAACCAGGGGCTCCGGTGCCAGGCACAGGCAGCAGGGACAGCAGCTGAGCCTGTCACGGGTGCTGGGGACGAGCGGCCACGTGGCTGCTGAGGGGTGTTTGGGGGCTGTGGTGGCGGGTTGGGCTGGCCGGGCTCAGGGCCCTGCCGAGGTGAGCACTAGCATGCCAGGGCCACGGGCCTGCACTGCGGGTCCAGGTGTGGGGCAGGGGGACGCCAGGGTCCTCTTCTCCCAACAGCCCCAGTAGCACTGAAGAGGGCCCTACACCTCCATCCCCTCCAAAAGCCCACGTTCAGGGGTTGGACCTGTTGTGCCACCCCTCCCTGCAGTGCCCAGGGTCCAGGTGGCAGAGGGGACAGGGTGCTCTCCTGTCAGTGTAAATTGAACACAAAGTCTTCCCGGCAGGAGAAAGACCAAGTCTAGTTCCCCTCCATGCTGGGCAAGACCACGGGCCATCTGGCGTGATGGGGCAGGCACTAGCCCAGCCGTCAGCCTTGCCTGATGGTGCTGCATCGCCTCAGGTCTCTGCAGTGGATGGGGGAGAAAGAGCCCTGCTGCCAGGCTGAGCGTGACGCAGCCAGGGGAAGCTGTCTGGCTCTTAGAAAAGTACATGATTTCCAGCACTTCCTTCTGGTTTTCCAGCTGTCCACGGTGGGGAGCTCCTCATAGAAGGGCCAGTGCTTGTTGGAAGTGCCAGCATCTCCTTTAGCACAGTGCAGAGGCTCTAGGGCCTCCGTGGGGTGCCTCCTTGTGGTCCCTCCTGCTGGCACCCTCCCAGGTGCTGGCCACAAACCTGCCGAGCCTGCCTGCTCGCACGGGGAGACGCAGTTACTCGCAGCCCCAATTTCAAGCTGTGATGGTGGAGCCTCTGCCTCAGTGTGAAGAGAGGTAACAGCCTTTCCCTCTCTGCATCCCCCAGGGAGGGAGGTGGTGGTGGTTGCAGTGGCCTTGAAGGCAGCAGGGGAGCGGTGACAGTCCTTGCCAGGCAGGGCAGCTGTCTGTTGTTAGGAGGTGGCCCTGCAAGGCTGGGCTCAGCAATGCAAGGGCAGGAAGCAGCGCTTAGTGGGTGTAACAGCTTGGGCGGCCTTTGCTCCCAGGGACTGGGCGGCATGGGAGAGCAGCCAGGCTGCACAGTGCAGAGCACAAGTCACTGCTGGGGGGATGCGCTGGAGGGGGCAGTTGTGCAATGCAAGATGCTCCCTTCCAGCTCACCCGCAGGGCAGTGACGGGGGGACTGGGAGCAGGGTTGCTCCATGTGCAGGTCACTGCAGCGGTGCAGGGGCAGCTGCACACATTGGTGCTGGGAGCACAGGGAAATGCCGGGGGCTCAGGGTCCGGCCGTGCCTGCCATGCAGCTCACCGGGAGCCACGCTCACCCCTAGCGCTGCAGCATCAGCTTGTGATTTCAGCAACCAACATGCCAGCCCCTACATCCTGACCCCAAAGCATGGCTCCGCTCACAAACTACCCTGCTGCAGCACTGCGTCAGAAAAGAGCAAAAAGAAAGACCAGCTTGAGGCCACAGGCAGGCTGAACAAGGAGCCAGCAGCACCCCGGCTGATTAGCTTTGCAGAAGAGGGGCTGAGCAGGACAAGGATCTCCATCCCCTGCATCCTAGGGACCTACCCTGCCACTGAGGGACAGCCAGAAACCCTCAAGGCCACCGTGCAGGCATGTGCATGCTGACCCCGGCAGGATTTGCACTTGAGAGAAGGGGGGTATGGAAAAGCCTCCTGGGCTGCAGCCAGGCACAAAGGCTGGATGCAGAGCTGTGACAGGACCCGTAGGCTGGAGGTCACGGTCCCACCAGGCCCCATTTCTCTGGCAGTGGGATGGAGCTGTGGAGGCTCTTGCAGCTGCCCCAGCAAGAGCAGGGTGCCTTTACCAGGGGCAGGGGGATGATGGGCACCAAGGAGCAAACGCTGTCACTGCCACTAAACACACGCTTCCCTTGAATTACCCATCTCTCTAAATACTTGACTCAAGAGCGCAAGCATTTTCCAGCTGCACTTTCCAGGGGCCTGAGATGGGAAGGGAAGGATGGCAGGATAAGCAGGCTGGCCACTGGTGACAAGGCTGAAGCCATCGTAGCGCCTCACTGTGCAGCACTGAGGAGTCACGGTGCCTTTGAAGAGCTGGGCCTGTGTTTTGGGCCTGACTTGATGAAGGGGCCCTGGTGCCCAGGAAGACCCGTCCCGAGCTCAGCCAGGCCTGCGCGGGCCCAGGGCTCGACGCCGTGCGCTCATCCACTCAAATGCACAAGTGTCTCAGAAGCCCCCGCTTTAATTGGCAAAGCCTTGGTGCAGCTCACGGGCGGCGTGGGCAGGCGGGCGCCCGGCTGCGCGGGGCCCGGGCGGCAGCGCGGGGCCGCCGAGGGCAGCGGCGCGTGGGCACAGTGCGAAAGGGACGTTTGGCAGCTGCACCCGAGCGAGGCCGGCTCCGGCGGCATCGGGGAACTGTGGGGCTGTGCTTGGCCGTCCGACACATTCACTTGAGCTGTCTGGGATATCCCCCCTCCCGGCGGGGTCACAGCCGCCCTCCCTGCGTGGCCTTCAAGAGGGACCCTCTCCCCACACTGCTGCCCCCTCTGCCCTGCAGCAAGGAGCAAAGGAGGGCACAGGGCAGCCCGGCCAGGTCGCCGGCAGAGGCAGGGAGCCGTGGAGGGGGCTGCAGCGCAGGGGTGTGCGGAGCTGGGTGGGGGGACACAGGGTGCTCTCCCACACGTCACTCCTGCTGCCCAGGCCCCGTGGTGAGCTGGGCCCCGGGGTGCCGGTGCCGTGCGGTGGCAGCAGGGTAGAGGTGGTGGTGCGGGAGCCGGGGTGGCGGGGAGGCTCCTTCCCGTCCCCACCGCATCCTCCGCTCTCGGGCCTGGCCGGGGCTCGCCCCAGCGGCGGGGACGCTCACTGGTAGCGGGCCTGGCTCTCCATCACCGGCCCCGTCCTGTACTCGCCCTCCACCGTCTCCAGCTCCGTCTCGAAGCTCTGCAGGCCGCCCTCCTCGCCGTCCTCCGCCGGCTCCAGGTGGTTGCCCATGGTCCCGTAGGACTGGTGTGCCGGGGAGGCCGCCGGCGTGAGGCTCAGCTCGGGCTCCTGCAGGACGGTGGCCACGAAGAGCTGTGGCAGGAGACAGAGCAGCGTCAGGGCTATGGGGACACGGGCTGGGCCAAGGTGATACAGGGCTTGGTGGGCGAGCAGGGAGGGCGCCGGGTCGGGCCCTTCCGGAGGAGAACTCACGTTGGAGTTGGGGGTGGAGGACACGCTGCTCCGCTCCGTGTCGTTGAAGGCGCTGTCAGACTGGTCGGACATCTGGGGAGAGGGAAGTAGGAGGGAAGCGGCGGCGCAGAGGCAGGGCTGGCACTGATGCCAGCGGGGCACCACGCTGTGCAGCCTCCCTCACAGCCAGTGTGGGCAGAAGGCCCTGCTGCAGCCCCGCCAAACCCGGGGTTCAGCCGAGCAGGCCACGCGGCCCCCAGCTGCCAAAGGCTGCCCTGCTGTCTGCAAGGCAGAGCCAGGACACAGCCGGGACAGGGACCTGGTGGGCCTGCCACAGTGGTATGGGGAAGGGTGGTGAGCACTGACTGTGTGCTGGGGTCTTTAGGGATGGGGAGGGACCATGTGAGCACCAACCAGATCTGTGCCCTGGCTCTGGTCTGTCTGCAACCAAATCCTCAGGATCCTCTGTGAAAACTTACCCAGAGTTGGGGGTAAAGGGACAAAGAGGCATGTGGGATGGAGCTGTGCATGGTCCTGGGGGCTAGACAGGAGGCTGCCCATGCTCACCTGGTAGCTGGAAGGTTTCCGTGGCTGCAGCTTCTTCAGGCAGAGGCCAAAGAAGGAGAAGATGATGCAAGAGAGAAGGACCACAAAAGTGAAGAGGGTAACAGGACGGGTAGGACCTAGAGCAGAGACACATGAGGGCACCACATAAGCCTTCAAGTGCTGCTTGAAACTTACTGCACCTCTGGCTGAGCCCCATGCTGGTGTCTGCTTTGGACATTGTGAGCTCTCACTCACCTCCCAAACACTAGCAGACACCTGCCCCTGCATCTGCTGGGCCTCCATCATGCCCTCCCCCTTCCCGTCCCTCATTCTCCAGGTTGTGCCTAACTTAGGGACCATTCTGGCTGCTTGTCCCATACAGCTTGAGACCTGTAGCACTCATAAATGGTGGGGTGAGCCAGACCCGAACTCTCCCTACCAAGGCGCAGGACGGAGAAGAAGAGTAGCCAGAACATGCAGAGGATGGGGGCCACCACGACCTGGCTGATGGCAGCAACATGGAGGCGCTGGTTCAGCTTGGTGGGGATGTACACGTAGTAGATGTTGTACCGGTCGACCATATGCTTCAGCAGCATGTAGAGCAAACCTGACAGGGAGGAACAGGAGGCGTTTGGGAGAGCAGGATGAACAGTCTTGGTGCAGGGGCAGCAGGGCTGGCCCGGAAGATAGCATGGGAGGGCATCTCCAGGCGCTGAGGAAGCTTGTGCCTGAAAAGTGACTGAAACAGGCTGTTCTCAGCACAGACGGGCTGGGAGAACAGGAGGCTGGTACTCACCAAAGGGGACAATGATGGGGCAAGTGATGCTGTAGGTCATGACGACTGAGAAGATGCAGCAGGTCCAGGCGTACTCCAGCCCAAACTGGAACTGGTAGGCTTGGCTCTGAGGCACAACCAACAGCTCCGTTACCTTCCAGCTCCCATGTTAGACAGTGTGAAAGCTCAGGGCCCTTTGGTCCCTCCCGTAGGGCACTGACAGAGCTGGATGCTCAGCAGACCCAGAAATGGTGGGTCCTGCACAGGCCGCACCGCAGCCAGCCGCTAGTCCTTGGCCTCATGGGACCCCTGGTGAGGAGCCTCTCCTTCACAAGCCCTGCAGAGCTCAGCCTCCCGAGCCCCTCACACAGTGGGGCACCTTTACATCCTAGATGGTCCCTTCCTCTCCAAACCCACGTCTTCACATCTCACCACCACAGGTACAGAGACAAGCCCAGTGGTGCCCTTTGTGCAATGGCCTGTTCCCACACATGCCTCCCCATAGGACCCAGAAAGCCTGATTTTCCAGCTAGCCCCTGGCAACCACACATGACTTTGGCATGCCACAGGGCTCTGTGTGTGTGTACCCACGCAGCAGAGCCACGTACCCGCTTGATGTGGAGCCGTTCAGGCTCCGACTTGGCAAAGCAGAGCCGGGCGGTGTAGACAAGGAGGCCAGGGATGCGCAGCAGCTCCATGGCCGTCCCAATCAGGCTGGAGGTGACCACGTAGTTGACAAAGAAAGCGCCATTGTCTGGAAGGAAAACGCACCTGCTCCCAGAGACAAGGAGGGAAGAGAGTGAGGCCACGCAGGCTGCCGGGAGCGCCACGAGGGCAGGAGGTGGCTGGGGGTGACATCGGCCTCTCCCCGCTCTCCCAGAGCACTGAGAGGAGCAGTGTGAGTCAGGGAGCTCTCCGGTACTCACTGGAACTTGATATCGGCCTCATCCAGAAAGTGCATGTCAAAGAGCCAGCGGAAGAATAGATCCAAACTAGAGAGAAGAGAAGCAGTTTAGAAAGGAAGCACAGAAATATGGGGGGTCATCCAGCAAGCGTGTGTTTTCCTTGTGCACAGAGCCAGTTCACTCAAAAAATTCTTTATTTATCCTGTTATTTCAGGATCCATGAACAGGGAAGTTTTGCAGGCCAGCACAACTGGCACAGCCATGACCAGGCAAAGGCTCTAGCAGAGTGCTGTCCTGTGCCCACTGGCACAGCCCCTGTGGCAGAGAGCGGCTCTGCCACTGACTCTCTGGCTCGTATTGGGCTTTAGAGATAAATAAACAGCACATTGCTGTGGAGTTAGCAGTCTGGCAGGCTCCACAGCTGTCCTGCTCTCTTTGCAGCTGTCCTCCTCTTCTGTCTATCATGGTGCTGGGAGTGGCTGAGCACTGCTGAAGAGTGAGCAGGATCCTCCCTACCTCCAACTGAAATGACTCCTACCTCTTAAACCTTTTAGGCTCATTTTCAGACAGGGAAAGAGTCTGTGCATGATCCCTAGCCTGCTGGTGAACAAAGCAAGCAGCCTGGCAGGCTGGCCAGTACCTGGTCAGTCCCAGCGAAGGCAGGATGATGACCATAAACACCAGGAAAAAGAAACATTTGTGCATTGTGAGTTGATTTTCACTTGACCTGGAGAGAGGAGAAAAAAAAGAAAAAGAGAAGAACTTTGCACTTTCCAGAAGCAGATCAGGAGATCAGGGTGTGAGAAAGGTATCAAGGGCCCTAGAAAGGTATCAATGCCCTGGTGGCATTGTCACCAGCTACAGGAAGCAATGTACATTTGAGCTGTGTGAGAACCTTTCCCCGGCCTGTGGAGGAATCACCACTGGGCAACGTGCTGTCTCGAATGCTCTTGTTCTCTTGGTCTCACAACCCTCATCCCTTCCTCCTCCCAATACAGCATTTACTGGTCATGTATCTTGTGCAGGCGCTGCCCCAGCAAGAGAGCTGGATCTCTACCATGGGTGTAGAAGCCAGGGACACTTTCTCTACCCTTGGGAGGAGGAAGGGAGGATGGGTGCGAGCAATCCAGACTCTTGCAAAGAGAGGACTAGGTAGACAAGGCATAGGGGCTGGGACTGACAGGGTCAAGACAAAGGGAGCAAAATGCAGAAACTGAGCAGCAGCAGCACCTTCTCTGCTGAGAGGCTTTGAGCCTCCATAATTTGCACCTTCCCCTTGGAGGCCTGGAAGCATGACTTGGGCGTGCCTCTTAAATCAGAGCCATTGCCCTGTCTTTGCAAGTGCCCTGTCACACCATCCGTTTTCCTAGTGTCTTCAGACCTCATAAAACCTGCTTTGTTTGCACTTCTTGGCATCCTGAACATGTTCATGGCAAGAAAATGGCTCCTTGGGCACGCGCTGGAGCCCTTGCAGACAACACCTACAGTACTGTGGGGATCTGGCAGTCTTTGAACGTACTGCCTGTCTCCCTGCAGGTTGGGTTCAAAGAGTCCTACTGAGGGTTTTCCCATCTGATTCAGCCTCAAGTAACCTAGCAGGGAGCAGGGTCCTGTTACCTTGTCCAGTGTGCCTCGAAGAATGCAGAGTAGTAGACAATGAAGGGCAGGAAGACAGAGAAGGCCCAGAGCAGCAGCGTAGGGAAGAACTGTGTAATGATGGGATTCTGCAAGAGGAGAGAAGTCAGGCATCCACTTAGGGACCTTCTGGCTTCAGGAAGGAACAAGCTAACAAGCACAGACACCCAGCCTCACGTGAGCATGGAGGCCCCAGGACTCTGCCACTAAAAACACCTATGAGACAGGGAGGATGGCAAACAGTGGCCCAAGCTCTCCTTGCCTCTCAGCAACAACTGTCCCAGGGACGGATTGTCTCCTTGGGTCAGTTGGGCCCTCCCCCAACACAGACAAGCCTGTGAGACTCTTTGAGGCTGGCATTGATCCCTGTTGACTACCTTGAGGCTCTCCACAGGCCGTGTGACATTGAACATGTCCATAGTGTTGACGATGATGGCCGGTGTGGTAAGGAAGAAGAGAAGAATGAAGAGGCAGATGTTAAGGAGGATAAATCGCACCCACCATGATGTGCCACGGACAGATAAATTCTCCCTGTGAGAGAAAAGTATCTCTTAGACACAGAGCAGAGGACAAGCCAGGCATCCTTAAGTGCACCCTCCAAAACGTGCTACTACAGTACTTCCCAGGCCTTGCTATGTGCACTGACACTCCTGGTAGCCCTTCTCTGAGCCCATCATCTTCCCACTCCCAGATCTACTGCATCACTGCAATCAGAGCACCTAGGATTTGAGTATCACAGCAGGAGCAGTTCCATGTTTCCAGAGAGACGCTGGAGGCTGGTCAGAGAACTCAGAGGCTGGCAATCACCAGCAGCTCTTGTCAGGCCAAGTCATGGTTACTTCTGCTAGGGTCATAGAGAGAGGGATCTTCAACCTCTGCCCACCCTGGGAAGAGGCCCTGTAGCCATAACCACAAATTCCCCCTTTGTGAGGCTGCTGTCCCTGCTGTCCCAGCCCACAAGGGTATTTACCATATGATATCACTGGGTGCTGGTGCGTAGCTAACTCCCCAGTGGTGTGACTTGACCACTGTTGTCACAGAGGATTGCTGGGGGTGCTTACGACAGTGGTTGTGACCGTAGTCCTTCAAAATCCTGCATGAGAAGAAAGCCAAGGGAACAGGTCTGAGCCAAGGGCTTCCCTTCCCAGCTTTTTGTCACACCTTCCCCACAACCCTGGGTTGTGATCCTCTTGCAGGGCAGTCCTGTCTTCATCTGGGAGACACAGCTGGGACACATTCACCATTGGCTTTGGCTGACCCCAGAGGCAAGGGCCCCAGCCTGGGGCAGAGCATGGGGCACATGCTCAGACCAGAAGGGTCACAGCCTCCCCCTTGGAGACAGGTACTCACACAGCCGTCATCCTCTCATCCTGGAAGGTGACGAAGGCCATGTCGAGACGCTTGAGCGTGATGCGATTGCGCTCGGCATTGAACTCGTCCGTGAGTTTCTCCTCCAGCTCCCCATAGTACTGCTCAGCATCCACCTGCAGGCAAGGTCGCTTTGCAGAGCACTCCTTGCCGAGGGCAAGGGAGAGGCAGACAGGAGGCAAGCTCACAAACACCCATCCATGACCACGGTCCCCTAACCATGCAGGAGGGAAAGGAGTTCTCCTTCCCATGCCCAGCTGCAGAGATTTCAATCCTAGATTCCAGAGCTGCCAAAACCCATTCAAAGAGTGCATCAGCCATCAAGGGCAATACGTGCAAGCAGCTGCCTTTCACGACAGCTTCTCTAGCAGATACTGCTTGCAAAAGAGTGGCAGAAGCTGTGTCATGGAGGCAGCAGTCTGGGCTGCAATGGGAAGCTGAGGGCTTTTCAGTACCCATCAAGGCCTCAAAGGACCATGCTGGGGGGAAGTTACTCCTGGGTGTCCTGATGCCTGCATGGGGCTCTAGGGATTCCTCAAGTGCTTGATGCTTATGGCAAGAGGGAGATTTCTGAGCAGCCCATCAGCAATCAGTGTGGCAGGTGAAGGGAAAGCTCCCGGGGAGGCTCTCCTGCCATGAGGCAGCCCTGACCTCTGCCAGGAGATGCGCTGCCTCCAGCCCTGCCTGCTCCCCTCCTACCTGCTCAAAGCCACAGATGCGACAGCAGAAAATGCGGGCACAAGGGTGAGTTTTGATCATGATCTTTCCTTCTTTCTGTGCCTTGGTGGTGAAGTAAAGTCGCCCCTTCATTGCCTTGCGCCTGCCAGAAACATGGCCAGAGAGGATGGGTTTTTTTCAGGGAATTTCCCTCTCATCTCCCCCAAGGAAGAAAGAGTAGCTCTCTGAAATTGTTGGGCAGGAGCAGTCTCAGACTTCCATGGGCTGACTGCCAGCTCAGGACTGCTATGGCCTGAGCCAGAGAGAGAGGTCCCCCCAAGAGAGGCAGGCTCCCTCCGACTCAGGGGTGCTACTTTGCGGCATCTTGCAGATTGCCTGAGCATTGCCAGGAAAACCTGCCCACGAGCTGCAAAGAGCAAGGCTCACCAGGGCATGGGAGAGGGGCAGAGGAGCTGCGGGCCAGCAGCCCAGCACACACTCACCTCTCCGCATCCAGCTTCATCAGCCTGCGCACGTCGAAGCAGAACTGGACGTTGGTGACGGTGCAGCTGGGATAAGCCTCACTGCAGGCACGGAGACACAGTGACAGCGGGAGCTGGGGGACGGGGACAGCCTCCCTCCCCAGAGCCTGGAGCTCACTGCCAGCTCTCAGCAGGATGAGCAGGGTCCACCAACCCCACTAAGACCCCTGGTAGGCAGCATGAGAGGAAACAGCTGCCTTCTCTGCACCAGCGTGGAGCCAACTGCCTGCAAGGCTGTGGTGTGTCGCCTGCCTTCAGCACAGCGTGAGCACCAGCTGCCCTGCTGACGGGAGGCTGGCCTGTGGTGCTACTCACTGGAAATGCTTGATGATCAGGGAAGGGTCTGTTATCTCCTTGGGAATCCGGGTGACCATCAGTGTCCGGGCGACCTGCAGGAGAAGGAGGATTGGTGATGGATGGGGGCAGATGGTCTATTGGACATCTCAGTGCTGTCCTGCCTGCCTGCACTGTGGCCAGGGTCACTGCTTCCACCACATGGATGGGGAAGGGATGTGCACAAGTGGAAGAGATGAGACTCAGGAAGATTATGCTCTCATCTGGTGACCGAGATAGCATGATCCCTCTCATAGCATGATCTCTCATTCCCCAGCTACCAGGAGCATTGGCTGCCAGTGTGGAGTCTGAGTCAATGCAGACCACTCCAGAAGCACGGCTCAACATTACAGCCTCACAGAGAGCTGGACAGAGCAAAGTTTTAATCTCAGCAACAAGGCAGCGATAAGAAACAGTTTTGCCTCTGAACTGCCAGGCTTTCTCCAGAAACTTGAGGAAATCCACCTATCTTTTCCTACCTGCCCAGTGCCAAACTGTTAGTAAAGCTCTCCTTATACATTAGGACCATCCTTTCTGTAAAGCACATACAGTAGTCTGTCTGTGTTGAGAAAGGCAGAGATGATGGCTGCCATAGGAGGGGAGTTGCTGCTCACCTTCTCGTTCTCCCTGTACTCGAGATGGACGGAGTGATGGGCCATGCAGAGAATGGTGAGGATGAAATAGATGAGGGCGAAGATACTGTGAAGCCACAGGAGACGGTCCCTGGAGGAAAGAAAGGCTGGATCAGCTACCCATGCAGAGGGTGCATGTCACACAGACCAGCTCAGCACCACACTCATCACTGCCCAGCCCTCCCAGCCCTTACAAGGACCAACACACATTCCTCGGGGGACTGAAGGTGCTGCTTCCATGGTGCTAGCTGAGACACTGTAGAAACGAGGGTGCCCAGGCTACTCCTGATGCAACGTTTGCTGGTAGCAGGGGTGCAGCAGGCAGTGCAAGCGTGCTGGCTACGACGACCGTGCTTGTGCGCAGTGCAAACAGACCCACGGACAACTGCGAGTAGCGTGCTGCTCACATGGACCAGTCCCTGGCATGGTCAAGGGGCTAGGCCGAGTGTGATGCCTTGGCGCTCCCAGCAGTGCTAAACACAGCAGCAGCAGCACACACAGTCCCCCAAGACATGGGAGCCACGTACTGTGTTGGGATGTTGGCGATGGTTGTCCGCCCAAAGTGGGTGGGATTGTTTCCTGCAAGAGAAGAGGAGAAGTAGGGAGGTTACAAGGCTCCTGTGCAGCCTGTGCTCCCAGGGAAGCGGCTGTGGGACCCCTCTTTGCTCCCTTGTCTCCACTTGTCTCCCAGCTCCTTGCCAAGCCCCTGGACCCCTAGAGTCCTTGAGCCTCTTTCATTTCCTCTGTCCTGCAGCTGAGCCTGATTCCTGTCTATGGTGCTGGTTCTTTGCACAGCCCGTGCAGAATCAACCCTCCAGAGAGCTTAATTCTGCTCAAGTGCTGGCTCAGGACAGCGTGGGTCTGCTCTCTGTCCCTGCAGCACACGCTGCTCACCCTAAGGCTACTTGCTTGTGACACACTCCCAAAACACCCCCAAGCTGGGGAAGCACCTACCCAGGAGGTCCCCTGAAAAGTTGACGGGCAGGATAACAGCCACGGAGAGCACACAGACCAACATGAGCAGGACCAGGAGATGCCGCTGGAAGGACAGGTATGTGGTGGCATCGATCCCACATTTACTCTGAATTTCCTCATCCCTGAGGAAAAGAGAGGGGTGCAGGTTAGTGCTGGTGGTGCTGCCTCCCTTCCTCTGCCACCACCACCCCCTTCCAACCCCAGGGACATTGGCTGCTCCAGCTTTGACAAAGCCACAAAAAATCATGGTCTCCTTCCTGGGGATTCGGGCACAGGAGAAATGGAGAGGAAAGGGTCTTCAGGCTGCCAGCTCACCACAGCACGTGTTCCTAGTAGAAGGGCTTATAGACCATTTTTTGGGGACATGAGTCTGGGCATAGCAGAGGCACCGAGAATGCACAGAGAGGAGCCCTCTGATCCCACTCACTGCTGGGGTGTTTTAGCAGGGCTGTCTCTGCTCTGTCCCACCTCTGGTCCCTGTGGGAGCTCACTTGGTGGTGCTGAGTGTTGGGTGGCTCCACAGCAAGTGTCCACCTGCGGGCACCGGCTACCTGGGGATGGGCAGTGGTGGGTACCACCAGCAAAGGAAATGCCAGGAGCACCTACTTACTTCATTTGGTAGATAGAAATAAGCCAGGAGCAGAATCCCTGAAAAGGAAGAGAGTCAAGATGAGCTGGGAGTAACTACCTTGACCTCCCCATGGGCTTGGGGCTGAGCCATGTTCTGCTCTTGGCCAAGCAGAGGGCGAGCACAGGGCTCTGCAGGGACACCTGCAGGGGCTGAGCCGCAATAGTGGCCAAAAGCAGATGCTAGAAAAGAACAGAAAACATGGTGATATTTGTGTCAAGGATCCATAAATTCTCTGTGTCTTTGCTCAAAGTGCTTTCCAAGGCTGACCACTGAACCAGCACTGCCATAGATCACATAGATCACAGAACAATGCCAAGATCTTCTTCTTCACTAGTAGTAGCTCTGAACTTGACACTGCATGCAGCATTTGGATTTTTTCCCTATATACTTTATTTCATTTAGCTCATATGAGCTCAGAGCCCTTCTGCAGTCCTCTCCATCACAGCTGTACATCAGTAGGCTCTGCCCCCCACTTTGCTCCTTTCCAACTAATTTATGAAGACTCTGAAAAGGAAAACGCCAGGCAGATCCCTGGAGGACCCTTCCCCCTGTGAATGTTAATGGCTTATTCCTCCTCTTCATTCCCTGACTCCATCCATTCCATGACCTTTCCTACTCCACAGCTGAGCTTCTTTTGAACAACTGCAGCAGGAGACTTCAGAAATCCAAGCAGACTCCACCAAAGCTCCTCCTGCCCCATGCGCCTGCCTGGCTCCCTGTAGCTCTACGGCCTGATTGCCTGTCAAGAAAGCCAGGCTGACCCTCCTCATATATCATGTTCAGTAGTTCTGTGCAAAATAATTTCTAAAAATTTCTCCATCTCTCCATATGGATGTCAAGCTCACTACTCTTCTTGAAAAACAGGACAGAACAAAACAGCATTGCATCAGGCAATTTCCAGCTCTCTAGGACTTCCAATTTCAAGAGAGAGATTATGCACTATAGTTAATAGTTCAGCTATTCATCTCAGGTCAGTGAGAATGCTGCTCTTGAAAATCTGTTCTAGTAATAGTAATTCATTAGTTGTGTTTTCTACAGCCTTATTCCTCCAGCCCCACTTCCAGACAGATCCTCCAGAACATCCACTCAAACACAGAAGGGTTCCCCTGTGGGAACTTCTTCAAGCCCTTCTACACTGAACACAGACACAAGCTTAGTTTAGATTCCCTGCTACACTCTTACCTTCTCAAGCAACCATTTTCTATCTTGAACATGTATTGATCCTATCGACTCTCTTGCAGGTTTCCCGTTTCTGATGTGTTTGAAGAAAAAAAATTGCATTTGCTTTTATACCTCTGCAAATTTCTCCTCAAAATCACTTTTCCCCCTTCCTGTCTTATTGTATTTTACAGGTAACCTGGCAAAGTTTAGATTTTCTTTACTTTGAAGAATCTTAACTTTTAAAAAGTCTGCCTAAAGTCTATCTGGTAACCTCTCTCATCCTGCCGTTTAGCCATGCTGCCTTCCTTTTGGTCTTTCTCAATTACTTTTGCTAGGTAGTACACACTTTCCCAGAGCATCCAGTACAGCATCTTTAAATAGTCCTTCTGCCATCTGCAAATATTTTACTTCTTTGGCCTTCCTGACGAGTTTGATATTTTAATATGTCTTTTTATACAGCAGTGACTGACTTTTCAGCTTTTATTGGCAGAAAAGGAAGATAAACAGTGAAACATGTCAGCCCATGTTTATTGCTAGTGAAGCCTGTTTTGTGTCTCATGTCACACAGGGAGAAAAAAAGACAACGTCAAAAGGATGCACGTGCTGCTCACCAATACCCAGAGTGGACTTGTGGGCAAAGCAGTGGGCAGAGCTCCCAGGGGCTGGGACCCTTGGAATCAAGACAAACCAGGACCAAGAAACCCTTCAGCTTTTCCTGGTACACAAACAGCAGCTCCCAGGCCTGCTGCTGTGTTAAACAGGAAACATGTTGTTGGAAACATGTTGTTTAACCTCTCACTGTTAACTTCTGACCTGACGTTCCTCCAAGTAACAGCGTCTCCTTGGACAGGACAGAGCTCGCTTCCTCACCACATCCTGTGGGTACTCACCACATCCTTGTTGTCTGTGTCCAGGGGGCTGGTCTCAGATGGGGACTTCTCTTTCTCACTCTGCTCGCCATAGAAAAGCGATGTCAAACTTTTAAAGGAGAGGGAGAAAGAAAGGAGTGAGAGATGAGAGAAGAAATAGAAAGGAGGGAAGGAGCACCCTTGGAAAAGCAACTTGGACCTTGCCCTCCTTGAACTTCTCCTGGGAAATCAGCCAGGCTGAAATAGGTTTTGTGCACAACAGGCTCAGTGGGAGGAAGACGTGTTTGGGTTTGCAGTTATCAGGTTTGATGAGTGAACACACAGGCTGCTCAGGAGGGAGCCTGCCCTGGGTGGCAGGATTGTTTGAAGCACACAAGAAGGGCACCCTCAGCCCTCCACGTCCTCTGGGAAATGCCTGTCCATCCCCACACATGCCCTGTGCCAGAGCCTGGACGCACGCAGTGCCTGGAGGGAGGCCACCCCACACTGCCCAACAGCCAGGGCCTGCAGCACAGTTGCCTTAGCTCAAGGACAAGGGCCCAGTGAACTGGATTTTTACATTCCACTGGTTTCAGCCCTCCTAAATGCCATTACAATAAAGAAATCTTAAGCAGATTTTGCATTTTAAATTCTGATTGCCCATTTAATCTTCTCAGTGAAATAAAACATTGCTCATCCATTTCCAGACTTCGATTCAGAGCCCAAATCCAAGTCCACTCAGAGGTGTCCTCATGCCTTTCTCACCTATCATTGTCCATCAGCAGTGCCAGGCGGCCATAGTCCCAAGCTGCTTTCCGAAGGCAGGAGAAGACCAGAAGGAGAAGCTGCAACAAGAGTAAAAAGGAAAGGTGAAAGGTCTTGCTGTGGGATCCACCACATGCCTCCTTTCTCACTGCCTGTTGATGGACTCAAGCATACACAAAATTTACTTCTCAAGCCAACCTCCTCCTGCTCCACGAACTCACCACAGCTGCTGGAGGATGGCAGCACAGACACCAACACAGCACAGGGGACCCCACACATCTCACACACCTGTGCCACGACAGACCCCTGCAAGCAGAGCTCTGCCCCTCAGCTACCCTTGAGGTCTATAACCCCAGCTACCCCTGAGGTTACAATTGCCACAGTGTGGGCAAAGCTGTTGCCTCCCTTTGCTGTAGGATAACCCACACTGCCCCAAGCACAGGCCACCTTCACACACACATGGCATGGGTGCCCACAGTCCGTCTCTCCTTGGGGATGCTACATTCACACACAGCCCTAGCTACAGTCCCAAAACTAAGTCCACTCTTTCCCTCCTGGCCAGGCCTCGTTGGTGGGATGAGTAGTGGACACTGCTGCGCACGTGGGTGGCTCAGTCCCTTTCCCTCTGCACCACGTCACAGGCTTCTGAGCAAGCAACACAGAGCACTGCTGCACTGCACCACCCCACAGCACCATTGAGAGGGATTTGCTAGACTCAAACACCAAAACCCACCATAGCAAGGGTCACCCTAGAGAGTCAGAAGACAGGTCCAGAAGGCTACTTTGAGCACACCAAACTTGGTAGCAGGACAAAAAGCAGTCACAACACCTTCTGGGCACTTTCTTCCTAATTGGAGCACTGCCTCTAATCAACACGTGCATGAGAAGTATCAAGAGGGTTTCAAACATTCAGGACACAGCCATTACACAAAACGCACTCTGGGCTGTCTCCTCTTAGAGTCTGGGATATAGGGACTGTGCTTGCTGGCCAAGAAGGCCATTTCCAGCCCTGATGCCTCCTTTTCTCCACAGAACTCTGTGGGCATGGGGCCTGGTACCCACAGACCCGGTGCCCTTCCAGCCCCACTCACCAGCCAGAGGATGAAGTTGATGGCGAGCACAGTGGGCACCCCACCGAAGGGCAGGCCTTGCAGGACGGTGCTGCGGGAGCGGGCGCTGAAACACTGCTCCTCAGTGCTGTTTGCCAGGGGCTCCAAGAAGCTGAGCGCCTCCAGGGAAGTGGGGCTGGCACCATGTGGTGCCGGCTCCACCGAGTACACGCTGTCCATTGGTGCTGCAATGGGGCCTCAGCCTGCAACAGAAAGGCTGGGGTGAAGATGGCAGAGCTTTTGCTGGAAAATGGGCCCTAGCTCCTGCAGGTCCCCCACAGAGGAGCTCACTAAGAGAAGGGGTGGGATACAGCTGGCTTATGGCCTTGCAGAAGCAAGAAAGCAGAAATGCCACGGAGATCAGAACAGAGCTAATGGAGCACGACCCACACTCCCACCTTCTCCAGCTTCCCTTCTCCCAGGGAAGGGCTGTGGGACAAAGGGCAGGAGAAGGAAAAGGGCTGAAGAAAGTCACAGTTACTTCACTTTCTTTCCCCACAATAAACCAAATGCTATTTGGTTGTTTCCATCATACCTGAGACAGGGCTTTCACCACCTCCTCTTCTCATTCCTGGAAGTTGCGTTGAATCACAGCCACCCTGGCGCAATCAGCACACAGGAGCAAGGGACATTTGCTTGAACTTCTGTTAATAAGAGCAGTGATGACATTAGCAGGGGGGCTGCCCTTGCTTTGCTCCCCTCATTCAGAAAGCTGCTGTTTGTGGGCCTTCCAGCAGCCTCCCCTCCTCTAGCATCACAGCTTCTATCCTCCTGCCAGAGCAGGACTGCAGGACTGATACTTCCAGGACACACTGAAGTCTCAAAAAAAATCAGCTTCTCAAAATCCTAAATGTCAAGATTCTCCCCACTTTGCCTGAGTGCTGATAGCATGACCTACAGATCTCACTGGAAGGAAACACTTTCTTGCTCTTCACTTTCTATAATTTCATTTCTTTCTCCCTGGTACCATTGAATGCTTCCCTTTTTGCCCTGGGATTTCTACTCGGCTGCTGTGACTCTCCTCAAGGTGGCAGCTTTCCATACTGACACAAAATGAACCTTTCCAATTCTCCCTCATGCTCTAGACACCCCCATTGCTTTGAGACCTTGTCTAAAGCCTCTTACGTGAGTGCCATGCACTGCAGACACGCTACTGTGACCACAGCCTGTGCAAAAACCACACGAAACATCTCTGTGCCCATTAACATGGACTCCTCTGGCTGTATTCAAGCAACTGGGTATTTCTTCACCTCCCTTTTTTAATCTATATTCCAGATACAAATCGATCCCCATTATGACCCCTGTAGTCACCTTGCAAAAGCAGATCTTTGTTGCAAGATGCTCATAAGCCACACAGACAGGACAAAGAAAAAGAGGAGCCACAGACTGATTCAGCAGTGAAGGAGGATACAAAGACCTCAGTGACTTGGACATGCCAAGTTCAGATGGTGTTTTTTCTCATCAGGACCAAACTGGATCAGTTTTGCTTGCACACCAAAGGAAACCTGACTGAGAGACCCTTGGGGAGCACAGAAAGAACACACACAAAATGCCTCGGGCTAGAAAGGGGATCCTCTTCAGATCTTCATGGATTTGCTTTTGTTGGGAAGCATTTACTTTTGCCGTGTCAGTGTGACAGATGGGAGACTACATTAGCACATGGTTTTATGTGCACCGCTAAGGGCAGTCTCTTGCTTGTGGATATTATGGTCCTGACCTAAAGTTCTTGAGGAGACAGGACATGTCCCTCCTCTGCTAAGCAGAGTAGGTAGGAAGTGGGTGCTGGGGTGACACAGATTCAGGCCTGAAATACTGATTGCCTTCACCCTCTACATCCAGGGCAAGGAAGACAAAGAGGGAGATTTTCAAACAGAAAGTAGACAAAAATGCACTATGATGGTCTGATGCAGTCAGGCGGACATCATAAATTCCTAAGGATATCTTAAGAGTTTGGGCTTGATGAATTGGAGAACTAATCTTGGTGCTTGCTATTTCCAAATTAAAGAAAAGGACCTGCTAATTCTTCTAAAGCCTAAATTCCAGCCTAGAGAAAAACCTTCACTGGAAGTCACAGAGTTGTCAAAGGAGCTTGGACTAAGGCTATAGCTCATCGATGTCTGATGCTCTCCCTACTCCAGGTTAGACAGATATCTGGCTACCTGCATAGATGCCTTAAAGAGATATTAGAAACTGATGAACTACAAGCATCAGGACCCCCAGGACACACAGACCCATAGCAGGCACTTTTATTGTATATGTGGTACATTGTCATCTGGGGCACTGGATTCAGCCTCTGCTACAAGATCTTGCTACTTGCAGCACGTTTACTTCTTCTTGTGGGTTATCCAGCCACGTATGCCTTGATTTAACTGGTCTATGAGATCTGGTGACATCCTAGCCCAATCTAGAATGGCTGACACAGTAGCTCCCAAAAGAACTGTCCTCCAGGTCACCCACCGAGCTGGGCTGATACCAGCTCCTGGAGGGCACGCCAGGAGAGCCAAAGCTCAAGTACCATCTCTGGTGTCATGTGTAAAGAGTGGGATGGAAAAACCTCCCCATAGTGCCCTCTAATCACAGCTTGCATTCCGACCAGGGCAGGGAAATCCCAAGCTTTGAGGGTCAGTGTGGTCCAGAGGCAATAACAACATCTGAAAAGGGAGCTCCGGCAAGGGGAGTCCTGTGGGAAGCAAGTGTAAGGGCCGCTGTGACGAGCTGCAGCCATCCCCCTGCAGTCCAGCTGCCTCCCCCTGCCCGCTGTGAAACCTCCCGGGATGCCAGGGCCGGCCCTCCGCGGTGGAGATGTTCCCAATCTGCTCTTCCTTGTGTGCACGTCTTCCTCCTCCCATCCCCACGTAAACAGCAGAGCCAGCACCATCTGGCACTTCTAGCTGCTAAATAATTCACTGCCTTTTTGTTAACATAGAGATTGTGTCTATGACCCAGGGAGCTGTTGGACCTTCAGTAAATAAACAAGGGGACTCCTAGCAACTTCTAAGTCCCTCTTTGCCACTACTCCACTGCCCAGGGTTAAGATCCCCAGTCACAGTGTTCATGCTTCCAGGAGGAGCAGCACAGCATGGCAGGGAGAGAGCGCCACAGGGATCCGCATCTTTTCCTGTCAAGTCCTCGTTGCTGTTCCTTGTATTGTATTTTTTGTATTTTTTGTATTTTTTTGTATTTTTTGTATTTTTTTCCCAGTGGACAAAAAGCAATAGGTGCCTCGTGCGGATGCTGCTAGCGCCCTGCCCTCCCTGTGCACATGCAAACCTGTGCAGTGCTTCTTCTCCAGCACAAACCTTCACCCACCCAGTCCAGGCAACTCCCAGCTCTTCCCTACCATATCAAACATCTCCTTTTCAATTACAGTCTCACTGCACAAAGAAATTTTAGGAACAGAAGAGTCCTGAATTCAGCCTCAGGCTCATTTTCCTGCCTTTGTCCAGGTCCCTTCATCCCCAGCCATCCACAAATAGGATACCCATCTCCAGATATCCAAGATTCCTAGATCATTTGTTTGAGCTAATCTCACCTTTTTTCTTTTGGTGCTGATCATACAGAAGCATATTCAAATTACATAACAGCAATGCTATCATTAAAAATAACCACTGGGAACAACCAGATAAGTAAATACGTAAATGTTCTAGGAACAGCTCATGTAGAAAAAAAAATGGCAAGAAGAATTTCTGCTCATGCACTCCAGCAACAGCTTGATCTCAGTCCTGTAGGACATGCTCAAGCTTCCTTCAAATGGAGGAGATATATTAAAGAATAGCACTTTGTAGTGATATATACAAACACATGGACACTCTGGCTCAGATGTAAGGTTCCTGTCAAAACCCTCAAGCTAATTTTTAACACAGTGCTTATGAGATAATGCAGCATTTTGAAATACCCTGGTAAGAGCACTCGGCAACCTTACCTTAAAGGTCCAAGCAAGAAAAAGATAGAATCACTACATCAGTTTCTATTCCAGTCTGCATCACTGATGGTGTCATTTTGAGTAGAACCCTTCCCCTCACTGTTCTTTTCCCTGTTTTTAAGAAGTGGAAAGGTAGTAACGATGTGAATAACTGGGCTGGCTGGGTGAATTCTCCTCCAGAAGATGCTGCACGCACTTCCCATCAGCTGGAGAGGAGACAGTACTGCCACATGCCAATCACAGACAGGAGGCTCTTTTTGCCAGACACTGCCCTGAAGCAGTAACAGTGACAGTCAATTGAAAAAACATAGTAATGGGCAGGATGGCATCTAGGAAAATGAAGCAATAATATACAGGCAAAAATTACAACTGTCAATCCTACCCAGTCAAGGTCTTACTTAAGGGAAAGAGGTTATATTAAGATTAGGAAATGGGCAGAGTAATAAGGAAAGGCTATCTTCATCTCTCCTGTTTGCAACAGCTTTGAACGGACAGGGAATTTATGAGGTTTATCATTCTGCAAATTTACTGGACAATTTCTATGAACCATTTCCAGTGTGACAGGTTTGTCTTGAATATTCAGTGTCCTGTTTGTTTTACTTATACACCAGCATATGCTTCTCCTCTCTGGTTGGGTGGGCACTAATCCAGAGAATCAGATTTCCAATTAAAAATAAGGCATTTCTTTTATGTGAATGCATTTTTTTTTTTTCTTAAGCACCCTGCCAGCAAACTCATTTGCTAAGATATTCACAGAAAACACCAAAACAAAGTCTCAGATGACTAACCCAGGCTTTCTCACATGCCTGCACTCACTCAGCCTTGGCCATCTATCCCGGCAGGAAAAGCACTGCTCATTTCTGCTTGCAGATTGTGCAGTTGAGGCATGGGTCTATTGAATAGGCTGCCCATGGTCACAAAAAGCCAGCAGAGAAATCAGGGTTAGAAAGTGGGCATTAGATTCCTGATAGCTGTTGGAAACCAAGCCTCCTGACAGCTACCTGACAGCCTCTTCCATCTTCCTTCCTTTCCAAGGGAGAAGTGCCCAGGCTGCAGAAGAGCAAAGTGAGGACAGATGTAATGAGTGATCAAGTTAACACCTTGATGTGCTGAGAAAGCAGCAAATTTCCAGCATCCGAGCATGGGTGACTGTGGAGACCCACACTGTGGAGCCTGTGGAGTGGGGGAGGTTGAGAAATCCCAGCGAGTGCCACTGACTCAGCACCACAGCCAGGAGGGAGTAATGACCTCAGGCTGGGAAAAGGCTCATCAATATCCTGCTCTGAGCTCCCTGAAAGTGTGACAGAGGCACTTCTGGCACCCAAGGACACAAAGCAGGGTCTGTTTTAGGGACATCATTCCTGGAGACACTATCCACAGCAGTGAAATCGAGGTACATGTTATTTATAACAAGCCTGCATTCTGCTAAGCTCATGGCACAGACATCTTCATCAGCAGAAGGCTCTGCATCCTCCCACCAGCAAGGACAGCAAACACGTTCACAGAGCACAGATACCAGTGCTGCCCCTGAGCCCACCTCAAAACCAGACATATCCAAAGGAAAAGGGACCACAGGCAGCAACCTGGCCTAAGGATAACGCTGCCTAGAGTGAGCAAGATTTGGAGATGAGGGGCACCCTGTAGCAACTGAAGATTCCTAAGCAGCACGAAAAAACATATTCAAAGATGAGTTCAGTATCTCCAACCAAGAGACAAGAGGTG